ATGAGAAGCTGGATATGAGTCAACAGGGGGCCCTTGTAGCCAAGAAGGCTAATGGCATATTAGGGTGCATTAAGAGGAGCATTGTCAGCAGATCCAGAAATGTCATTATTCCCCTTTATTCAGTTCTGGTTAGGTCACATCTGGAGTATTGTGTCCAGTTCTGGGCCCCCCACTACAAAAAGGATGTGGACGCATTGGAGAGGGTCCAGCGAAGGGCAACCAAAATGATTAGGGGGCTGGAGCATATGACCCATGAGGAGAGAGGCTGTTCTCAGTGGTGACAGATGGCAGAACAAGGAACAATGGTCTCAAGTTGTGGTGGGAGAGGTCCAGGTTGGATATTAGGAAAAACTATTTCACTAGGAGGGTGGTGAAGCACTGGAATGGGTTCCCTAGGGAAGTAGTGGAGTCTCCATCCCTAGAGGTGTTTAAGTCTCGGCTTGACAAAACCCTGGGTGAGTTGATTTAGTTGGGATTGGTCCTGCCTAGAGCAGGGGGCTGGACTTGATGACTTCCTGAGGTCTTTTCCAGCTCTATGGTTCTATGATTCTATGATTCATAATAGTTTCCATCCTCAACAAACTGTAATAAAATTTGGCTCACTTTCTGTGGCACATACTTATCTCACAGCCTGTTGTAGGGGATTTACTTTAATTTTCAATGGAACACTACCTAGCATTTTTGCGCAACCCAAGTTCTTAGAAAATTACCTAGACATATGCACTGAAAGTCATTGGGTTACAGCTGCTGCTCTCAATTATCAGAAGTTAAAGGGAAGAACTGTTAGCCTTTCCATGTCGTAATTTTATTTCACATACACTTGTTTAGTCATTCTCTGCCTAGATGATTAGTTATGATATTTGGGGATAATCCAATTGCTTCATCATTGTGTACCTTCTAGGGGAATCTCTATTGATAAAATTATTTTTCTTTACATTAAGACTGTTCTCTGCCCTTTTTTGGATTGATAGCATGCAGTAAAAGTTCCTGGCAAGACAAAGCCTAAGGGTTGTGATTTGTTTGATTTTCTTAATTGGAATCTGTTTCACAGGAGCCGTTGAGATGTCCCATCGGAGTCCTGTTGCCTCCTGGTTTTGTGCTATGCTTCATTGCTTTGGAAGTTATATTCTTGCGGATTTGTTACTTGGGAACGCTCCTATTGATTATTTCAGCAATAACTCTAGTGTGCTCCTGGCCTCTGCAGTATGGTGAGTCTTTCACACTTTGGTAAAGCCTTGTGTGGAGGCAGGGGGTACCCACATTGTCCAATTTGGGTTAATTAGGAAAAGGAGGGGATTAAGTAAGGAGGAGTATGAAATAGTCTTTTGAATTTCTGGGCCTAGTTTCCAATTAATCTGATGACCTAACACAGTATTTCACAACCTTTTTTTTATAAAGTACCCTTTTAAAAAAATCATAAGTACCCCCAGCACCTACAATTTTCAGACACACAACGTTTTTTTCTACCATTGCAACACATTTGTTTAAACAACTTAATCATAGCCAGGATGATGATGACTTTTTTTGAGTGTAAAAAGTACAAAAATAATAAAATGCTGTAAAAATTCAGTTTTCTCCAAATTTCAGTTGTATTGACATACCCCCCCAGACTTCTCTCAAGTACCCCTAAAGGCACTCATATCACTGGTTGAGAAACACTGTCCTAACATATTAATGAGATGGGTCGAAGTTAACCTGAATCTAGACTTTTTCACTTCACAGATGCCCCAAAGTGTAGTCCAGCCTACAAAATCAGCACACACTGTACTGGCCCTGAAAAGAGTCTGTTCAGACTTTAGAGTGAGTGTGGAGTGCAATGGAGTGAGTACAAGCACTTTGGTGGAACATTGTGTACCCTTTTGTGTTGATCATGATGGCAGTATATGCAGAATTGAAAAGCCACGGAAAAGCTGAATTTCCTAGAAGCTATACCCAGCACTGCCTTTTCCATGACATACTTACTCAAAATAACAGCACAGACACTATTCTCTCACCATCTCCTACACAGTCGAGTTGGACAGGCTGCTTGAACTTTTCATGTTTTTTTTCCAGGTATTTGATTTTCTTCTGCCCCATGAACCTTTTCTACAAGTGTGTCAGCTTCCTGCCTGTCAAGCTTATCTTTGTGGCGATGAAAGAGGTTGTTAGAGTTCGTAAAATTGCTGTTGGGGTCCATCATGCTCACCACCATTATCACCATGGGTGGTTCATTATGGTGGTTACTGGATGGGTCAAAGGTAAATCCTGAGCTACTAGAACTAATGGGTTGGTACCTTCAGCTCCTGAAAAGAGGGAGAGGAAATTCTGGAAGTGCAGCAGTGGCACTGCAGCATGTCTCGGCATGGCTTGGTTAACTAAGGATGAAGTTAATGGGTTCCTAATTATGATGGTTAGCACAAACATTCTTTAATTTGCAGGACAGTTATGAATTGGGTCATCATTCCTATCTTATTGATGGGGAATGGAGGCATGGAGAGCCCACATTAGGGGTGTGTCTAGACTACATGGCTCCATCGATGGAGCCATGTAGATTAGGCAGGATGGCAAAGGGAAGTGAAGCTGCGATTTAAATAATCGCCACTTCGTTTAAATCAAAATGGCTGCCTCACTGTACCGATCAGCTGATTGTCGACACAGCGTGGAAGTCTAGACAGGGATCTGCTGACCCCAGAACCCTTCATCGGCAGATCCTGAGGCATAAAGGATCTGCTGACGAAAGGTTCTGGGGTTGGCAGATCCCCATCTAGACTGCTGCGCTGCGCCGACAATCAGCTGATCGGCACAGCGTGGCGGCCATTTTGATTGAAATGAAGCAGCGATTATTTAAATCGCAGCTTCATTTCCCCTTTTCGAGTAAACTAATCTATGTGGCTCCATTGACGGAGCCCTGTAGTTTAGACGTACCCTAGGAGTCAGTAGCAGATCTCAGGATAAAAGTCACAATCTCTTATTTCCATGTCCCATGCATGTACCCCCTAGACATGGTTCTTATTTATATATTTTTCAGGGAGTTTCTATTTATGCCAAAAGGTTTAAATCCTTTTCCTTGGGGTTTTTCCTAACAGAGAGTATGTATTATGTTTCAGCCCTGCTGATTGAGGTGGGGATCAGATATCCCTCTCCTACATTACTCAACACTTTACAGAGCTGCACAAAAGTGTTTAGCTTTAGCTCCAGTGTTAGTTCTAGGATTACTTTTGTTTTTATCAGAAATGGGTCTTTATTCATCTTCAGACAATCCTGATTCCCATATAGTTGGTAGAAGTTGTGCTTTGCAGGACTCTTCTAGTTCGGTGATTTCACTACTTCACTTTCACTGTTTGTTAGGTTCTGGCATTGCCTTGGTGTCTAATTTTGAGCAGCTGTTGCGTGGAGTCTGGAAGCCAGAAACAAATGAAATTCTTCATATGTCCTTGTAAGTATCTAAACTAAATTCTCTTAGACCAAGAACATATCCGTGATCAGTGCCTCTTATTCTGTAAGGTTCTACTTAATATGTTGTATGAAATCATAGAATCATAGGGCTGGAAGAGACCTCTGGAGGTCATCGAGTCCAACGCTAACTAAATCATCCCAGCTAGGGCTTTGTCGAACTAGGACTTAAAAACCTCTAGGGATGGAGATTCTACCACCTCCTTAGATAACCCATTCCAGTACTTCACTACCCTCCTAGTGAAATAGTTTATCGTAATATCCAACGTAGATATCCTCCACTGCAACTTGTGATCATTGCTCCTTGTTCTGCCATCTGTCACTACTGAGAACAGCCTCTCTCCATCCTCTTTGGACTCTCCCTTCAGGAAGTTGAAGGCTGCTCTCAAATCCCCCCTCACTCTTCTCTTCTGCAGACTAAACAAACCCAAATCCCTCAGCCTCTCCTCATAAGTCATGTGCTCCAGTCCCCTAATCATTTTCATGTCACGCTGCTGGACCCTCTCCAATGCATCCATATCCTTTCTATACTGGGGGGCCCAGAACTTGATGCAGTACTCCAGATGTGGCTTTACCAGTGCTGAATAAAGGGGAATAATCACTTCTGTAGATCTGCTGGCAGCGCTCCTCATACTGCACCCTAATATGCTATTTGCCTTCTTAGCTACAAGGATACACTGTTGATTCATATCCAGCTTCTGTAAGCCAGCACTGGAATCCCCAGGTCCTTTTCTGCAGAACTGCCACTTAGCCAGTCGATCTCCAGCCTGTAACAATGCTTGGGATTCTTCCATCCCAAGTGCAGGACTCTGTGTTTGTCCTTGTTGAACTTAATCAGATTTTTTTTGGCCCAATCCGCCAACTGGTCTAGGTCACTCTGGACCCTATCCCTACTTTCCAATGTATCTACCTCTTCCTCTAGCTTAGTGTCATATGCAAACTTGCTGAAGGGGCAATCCATCCCTTCATCTAGGTCATTAATAAAGATGTACTGCCAATCAAACATTGAGCTGTTGATCACTACCTGTTGAGCTCAATAATCTAGCCAGTTTTCTATTAATCTTAGAGCCCATTTATTCAATTCATGTTTCCTTAATTTCTGGGCTAGAATTGTGTGGGAGACTGTAACAAAAGCTTTGCTAAAGTCAAGGTACATCACATCCACCAACTTCCCCATATCCACAGAGCCAGTTACCTCATCATAGAAGGTAATCAGGTTAGTCAGGCATGACTTGCCCTTGGTGAATCCATGCTGACTATTCCTGGTCACTTTCTTCTCTTCCAAGTGCTTCAAAATAAATTCCTTGACGATCCCCTCCATAATTTTTTCAGGGACTGAGGTGAGGCTGACTGGTCTGTAGTTCCTTGGATTGTCCATCTTTCCTTATGTAAAGATGGGCACTACATTTGCCTTTTTCCAATCGTCTGGAACCTCCCCTGATCTCCACGAGTTTTCAAAGATAATGACCAATGGCTCTACAATGACATCTGTCAAATCCCTCAACACTCTTGGATGCATTAAATCCCACCCATGGATGTGTGTTTCACTTTTCTAAATAGTTCTTAACTTGTTCTTTCTCCACCGAGGGCTGCCCGTCTCCCTCCCATAATGTGTTGCTTAGTATAGTAGTCTGGGAATTGACCTTGTCTGTGAAGACAGAAAGTAATGTGGTGAAGGAATGTCTGGGGTAATGCCCCTGGGGTGGGGCGGGGTCTTGCAATACAGGGAGAAAGGCTTACCTGCCCTACTAGGGGCTTGAACCCTGGACCCTCAGATTAAGTCTGATGCTCTACTGAATGAGATAGCCAGGCTCACACAATAAAACAGCCTCACTTCCTTTGTAGCCCAACAAAAGCCAGTCTGTATGGAGCAATCCTCTTCACCCTGCAGCAGACTCATTGGCTCCCCATCGCTAAAGCCAACCTCATCTTCTTCTTCACCATGTTTATGATTGTTTGCAAGGTAAGTTTACAGCACGTGCTGGTAATGAGTCTACAGACCCAAAGGAAAGAAGGGGTGTGTACTGCCTCAGGAGTATATAATTAAGTTGGGGAGCCATATCACCACTGGAGTAGAGAGTCAGGGTGGGGAGAGACATAGCACCATGGGAAACAAAGACAGGTTGGGGTGGGTGATATCTCTGTAGGGGTAGGGAGTGAAGCTGGCAGTGGCAGATTTCCAGAGTTACAGAGATAGCATCTTCTGGGAGGCATATCACCATATGGTTGCGGAGCCAGGTGTGTGGGGAGCAGTATTGTCAGGGGTAAGGAGTCAGGTTGGAGGAGTTAATCAATGTAATGCAAAATCCTCTCTTCTGGGATGCCACTTTACATTGTTGTTTCGTTAGATTCTATCCAGTGTTCTCTGGCCGAACACACAAACATTTCCATGCAGGTGCTGCAGTTCTGTCCAGTGGGTGTGGGCAGTGTGAGTTTCCCCTCTGTTAAGTTTAAAGAGGAATTGGCCTGAAATGTTGAAAATGGCATTTTTGGCAGGGACAGTTAGCAATGAGTAAGGCAACTCCCATCAGCTTGTGTTCAAGAGAAGCCATAGGACAAGCTCTTGCGCTAGGTGTGGGTGACCCTTCTAGGCTGTTATTGAAAGGCCTGGGTGTTCAGACTACAGTTAGTGAAGAAGCTGGAGCTTGAATTTTACCAGTCTGCCAGACAATATGAGAGACTAAGGTTCCAGCACTGAAGAGCCAAATTAATATCAATGAGCAATATTGGCTACAAAGGTTCAGGGAGTTAGGGGCAGGAATATTCCTGACCAGCTAGTATTTAACAGATGATCTGTAACTTCCTATCTCTTCTGTTGCATGGCAGGTTTTCATGACTGCAACTCACTCGCACACCTCGCCATTCTCTCCAATAGAAGGCTTCATCTGTCCAGTATTCTTTGGCTCTGTTTCTAGTGGGCACAACAATCATGATTATGACAACTCAGAGAGTTCCCATGACACGTCCCCTCCTCCTGCTCCTGCAAAATCTAAGGAGGAGCTGAACGAAGGCACACGGAAACGGAAAGCAAAAAAGGCTGAATAAGTGGGGTCAGATACGCACGGTGAACAAGCCAAAGATAAACCCCACAGAGCTGCAGTGACATAATCTCCAAGCCACCTGTGATCTCACATACCATCCGATCCTTCTTCCTGAGACTTCTAAAGAGAGAGAGAGAAATGAAAGCCAGGACACTGCCAGATGGATCCCTAAATTTCATTGATGCACCTCACCCTGCTGCTAGTGATAATGATCTTTGTCTCTACGTCTAATCTCCTGTTTTAAGGGGGGTTAAATTTGTGCCAGGCTGAGGTTTGGGTTCAAGTTCCCAGCCCACCAGCAATCATGGCACAGAATTTTGTTAGTATAAAATTCCTACTGCCCTCCTTAAAAAGCAAATGAAATACTTAGAAACAACTGAATATGGAAACTGGCTTTTTTAGCACAAGAGCAAATTATCTCCTGTGAAGCTGAGCTAATGGATTTCAGCTCCCATACTTGCAAAGTACCCTATGATGTAGGGCTTCAAATTAACATGCCTTATTTTCTATGCATGATGGGCCTGGCCATGTGCCGCTTGAGTAATTACATTCTTCTCATCTAAATTCCCCCTGCAATTCTTACATGCTATAACTTCTTTACTGCCTTAGCTTAAGGCTTACATGTGCTTTGAAGCTATAAAGTGTTATATGTGTTTTCTATTCCTCCTGTTATTATCTTACTCGGTCGGTTAGTGCACTTTGCTGTTAACACTGTCAACAATGTTGTGCCCCACCTGAGTGCTGACTGCATTTCACTGGGGAGGTGAAATGATCCCTAGAGTTTGGATACTGTTTGGTTGTAAACTGCTTTGGAATCCTGGGGGATAAAGGCACAATGTAAATGATTATATATTACTATTTATTATTACTAAGGTACCAAATTATCGGCACTGAAATTGGCTTTTATGGAGAACTCTGAATCTGCATGTACACAGTTGGGCACATTTGAGAAAGGTCTTAGGCCCACAAAAATACTCTAGTTGTTTCCAGAGTAGGCTGGAGGGTGGACTCAGTTCTCTCACTGCTGGGAGTGGCATTTCCTTTTTTCTAAAATTAAGATTTTATAAACCCAGGAAATGGTTTTTTAGATAAACCTGATTAAGCCATAAGCATCTAACTGGAGTGCACCAGCGGAGGAAAGCTGTACCTCCTTTGCACAGCCCCTGAGCCAAACCCATAGTACAAGTCTGGACCCGGGAGAAATCTTTTGCCCAGATGGTGAAGAAGGAAATGGTCAGTCTCCTGAACGTGGAAAGCCCTGGCTCATGGAGGATTCAGCCAGTTTGTTTGTATCCTGCGCTGTGAATGTTTGGGGCTAAACATTCCCAGAGCAGGATACTAGGAAGGGTTTAAAATCCAGGCACTGAATTTGTTTTTAAAAGTATGAACCAGGATGATGTTGCCATATGAACAGCGTTTGGGTTCGGAATATCCTGGGTCAACAGACGCTGGGAATGCTGCTGCAGTGGCAGCATGTTTAGCCCAGCGGGTGATTGGAGCATATGGATGGGCTGTTAGTGGCACTCCATCCTGCCATCCTCAGCTAACAGTGTAGTTACTCTGACTTAGCCTGGGTGGGGGAGTGTGTTTGGAGGTGGGGGAAGGGAAATAAGTGAATTCAGAGAATCTCTCCCCATCCCTACTCCAAAAACTTTAATTAGAAAAATTATTGAAATAAAATGGAAATTAGTTGCCAAGTGGGACTGGTGCATATCTTACTACACCTATAAAAACGGTTTTCCTGCAGGAAGACAGAGTGATGTCATCACGTCACTCTGCATCCCGCAGCCCCTTCCTCCTCAGCCACCCAGCCTCCTCTCCCTCTCCTCCCTGCTGCCAACCCCACAATGGGGTCAGCGACCCATGGCTCGTGAGCCTAAATATGGCTCTTTGACCCCTCAGCAGCAGCATTCACCTTTCTTGCACTGCGGAGGTAAGCTGCTACTGGACTTGTGGGGGGGGGGGAGCAGGACCACCTGGTGAGTGGGCAGGTGGTGGCAGGACCTGCGCTGGGGGGATTGGAACCGGGGTACACCCTGATCTCCGCAGCTGTCATACAGCAGGTGGCTGAAGCTCTGGCAGCTGCCATGTGGTGGGTGGTTGCCGGTGTTTTAAAAACAGCTGCTCCATTGCACTGGTGGTGGGACCCGTGCAGCGGCGGGGTGGGGAGGGAGAGACAGTACTGCTCCATCGGATTGGGGAGGGAGAAGGAGCCTAGGCTGGTAGAGGGGGGAGGGAGAGACAGGGCTGGGCTGGCGAAGGGGAGGAGGGGCCTGGACCCTGGAAGGAGAAGGGGCCCGGGAGTGGGTAGGATCCCGGGCAGGCAGGACTGCAGCCTGGCCCTCCCCAGTAGCTGAGAGGAGAGCCAGGGTTGCCTATCTCCCATGGCAGGGGGGTTGGCAAGCACAGCGAGCAGGGGCCACAGCCCCCTAAACCAAACCTTACGTACAACGGGACTGAAATCAGTACGGGGTCGAATTAACTGTGGCTCTTAGTTTCAAAAGGGCCTTACCCTTGAGCCCTTCCCTCACTCCCAGTGTAAAACTCAAGAATAGCTGTCTATTTTCACACCCGCTGTTTTACTGAAGCCGGTTGTTTCTTTGACGCACACCATGTAATGGTATTTAATCTCAGTGAGATGGTGGATTTAGGAGGAATTATTGTTTTACAACAGCCAGCCATTGACAGCATAAAGAGCTTGTGAAGTAACTCAGTCGGCCCAGGGGTGCTCGGGAGGGACGTGCTGCCGACTCACTCCAGCCCCAGAAACACTTCAGTTACAATAGAGTCCTGGGATCTGGTTACAATCTGCTTGGCCTCCAACCTAGTTGTGACATTGTTCTGCAGGTGGGATCTCGCTGGCCCGGCACCCTCGGGACTGGCGTGGTCCCGAATGACAGTTTCTGAACCACTGGAGGTCAAGGCTCCCTTCCCAGCTGTTGACTCGTCTCCCCAACACAGCTCCACTGCCTCCAGCCCTGCCAGGGCTACACTTCCCCCTCGGTGTAGGAGTGAGTGGGCTGGGGGTGTGCGGTCTAGATGGAGGGGTTGAGTTAGGGGGTTGAGGGCATGGGGTCTCGGCAGGGCAGCGAGTGAGTGGGCTGGGGGTGCAGGGTCTCAGCTTCGGGGGTATGAGTGAGTGGGCTGGGGATGCAGGGTCTCAGCTTCGGGGGTATGAGTGAGTGGGCTGGGGATGCAGGGTCTCAGCTTCGGGGGTATGAGTGAGTGGGCTGGGGATGCAGGGTCTCAGCTTCGGGGGTATGAGTGAGTGGGCTGGGGATGCAGGGTCTCAGCTTCGGGGGTATGAGTGAGTGGGCTGGGGATGCAGGGTCTCAGCTTCGGGGGTATGAGTGAGTGGGCTGGGGATGCAGGGTCTCAGCTTCGGGGGTATGAGTGAGTGGGCTGGGGGTGCAGGATCTCAGCAGAGGAGGTGTGTGAGGGGGCTGAGGGTGCAGGAGTTTGGCAGGGCATTGAGTGAGGGAATTGGAGTGCAGGGTCTTAGCTTGGGGGGGTATGAGTGAGGGGATGGGATTGTGGAGCCTTGGGGGGTGTGAATGAAGGGGAAGCAGGTGCAGAGTCTCAGCAGGGCGGGGAGTGAGTGGGCCGGAGCCACGCCGGCTCTCC